ACTTTTCTCGCTGGATTTTATTATTTGGATTGCCTTCGTGACTTCAGTCGGTGGGCCGCCTAGTATGCCATCGTCGATATACCAGTTATGGAGATTTAGGTTGCATTGGTCATTATATTAGATTATTAATGCCCAGACAGAACAAAAAGGAACCTAGAGGGTCACCTTGTTGTATACCTTCGTTAGAAGGAATCAATCTATCTCCGAATTGAAGATGTAAGAGATTAGCATAACAATCGAAGATAAATTGGGAGTATTCTGGGTAGAGGGTGAGAATAGGATTTAGAAAAGCTCCACGCCTTAGAGAGTCAAAGGCGTTCGAGAAGTCTATTTTGACTAGGATATCGTTGGTGGGATCCGTTTGTAGGTACATTCGGGTCATGTGAAGGGATACCTCACATCCACCTTTTACGTTGACTCCTAATTGATTCGGGCAAAGGTGATTGGATATTGTGAACAATAATCTGCTAATTACAATTTGGCAGTTAATCGGCGCCAAGTGGTTCCAATAGCGATTGGGCGAATATCTTTATTGGGTTTATGGAGAACGATGAGTTTAGCTCCGTATAGTAGTGGAATAATGGCGGGTGGTATGCCTCCAGTAAGCATACGGTTGATTAATTGGGTAATTTTTTCTAAAACGTCACATTGTTGTGTTATGTAAGGTGTGGTTAGGTCTTGTAAGAATATTGGGCGAAACCCATCGAACCCAGGTGAGGAATCGCGTTTGAAGGAGAGAATAGCCTTTCACGTCGTTTGCGGTATAAGTGGCCGCAATTAGAGGAGTTTCAGGGTAAGTCGGTATTTCATTTTTAAAATCGTGTGATTGGTGTTTTAGGAGAAGGGCCTGATAAGTTATTAAATCATAGGGAGCCAGTTTATTGTCGGAGGTTGCCAGACGTATGGCGGATTTATTCAGGTTATCCAATTTTTAAGATATTAGCCTGGTCTTGGTGAGCAGGTCATTTTTGTGATTTCTATTTTTATCTGTGTCGTCACTCGTAAAAGATGTGGTAATGTGATTGATGGGTAAGGGGTAGATAGTAGCATCCTTAATTTGTTGGGTCAGGGATTTTTTGCTGGTAGGATCAGGAACTTGTAAGGTAGTAAAGGCAAATGACAGGGTGTCTAGCCAGTGTCTTACAGAAGAATAATTATTTAACAAGGAAGTCAAGTTTTTTGACAGGTGTCTCGCAACTTGAAGCCTTGCTCCTTTAGGTATTCGTGAAATTACAAATGGTTTTGGTGTTGTTAGAAATATTTCTACATTTGAGTCGGCTGGGTCAAAAGTCGAAGCATTTGTGACAGTGAAGGTAGGGATTATTGGGTAAGTGAGCACATCAGTCAATGATGTGGGAATGGTGACTATGGGTTGTTTAGTTGTGAGGGCAAGGGCAGAGAAGGGATTAAGGGTTCTAGGAATTGCTGGTGATAAGATGGGTAGCCCAGATTGAAGACACTTTATTTTATGGTTACTATGAGATGGCAATAGCCCCAATTTGGTTACTTTAATAAGTATATTGCATAATAGGCAGTTGCATTTGGTAGGTGCTGTGCTGAGGTCTGGTAGGCTCATGGATTAGGAATTTTTTTCATATTTAAGGTTAAGGTGAATATCATTATTGTTAAAAATCACAGATGTGTTTATGGATAAATCTATGTATTGTACTGTAAATTAAAATTCATATAAGTAGAGTGTGGAAAGATTTTTGTTGACAGTTGTCATAAATTATATAATCTATTTACTAATAAATTTAAAATTTTCTTTCTGGAATGATTTTATAATTTTCATTGTCCATCTTTAAATCAGTTTATTATATGTGATCATGATATGTAAGTTTTGATTGCAAAGATGGTTTTACAATGGGGTAATTTATCTATATCATTAGTAATGGCATTATTGTGTTGTGGGAATTGAGATGAAGAGGGAGAAAGTGTATACTTGAACACCAAGATGCAATAGAGTGGTTTATTATGCCTCAAGGAGGGAAAACCTTTAAGGTTAAAATTCACGGATATGTTTATGGCAAAATTTATATATTGTTCTGCAAATTAAAGTTCAAAATTCATAAAAGTAGGATATGATGAAATTTTTGCTGACAAATGCCATTAAATATATAATCCATTTACTGATAAATTTAAATTTTTCTATCTGGAATATTTCTATAATTTTTATTTTCTATCTTCATATCAGTTTATTATATGTGATCATGATATAAAAGCTTTGATTGCAAAAAAAAGATTTCATAAAGGGGAAATTGATCTATATCATTAGTGATAGTATTATTGTATTGTGGGAATTATGATGAAGAAGGAGAAATGCTGATGGTGAGTGGAACTAGAGTGTGTATACTAAATATATAATAATGAGATTTTTATTGCATCTCATCTTCAGGTTTGCATAGTTAAATTAGTTGTTCTTATTGTATTCTCAATTCATACAGCTGTAAAACCGAACCTTCTTCTCTTCTCTTCTCTTAAAATTGATATAGCGAATTATTAGAAATTTAAATATATAATTGTTTGCATCATTTATAATATAATGTAAATAATATATATAAATTTAATAAAGTAAATAATATAATTTTAATATTATATGTATTTAATATTAAATTAATTGATATATAAAATAATTAAATATATGATTGTTGTAATCAATATATTTAAATTTAATATAATAGTTAATATTATTAACATGGTTATATTAATTTACTTATATATTGAATATAATTTAATGATTTATTTGCATCATATATAAAATTTAATTACAATTATTTATAATATATTTAGATATATAATATATATTGGTTTATATAATATATTGCTTTATGATTAATAGGTATATGTTAATTACTTATCTTACTTAGAAATCCATGAATAAATTTTTTATCGTTGGATTAAACTTATTTATATAATTATCAGATTTCCTCAAATCTTTTAATTTTTTTAAGATTCTATTAGTATATATAAGTTACCTATCTTAATAGGAAATCCCTGAATTAATTTTTTAACACTTATTACTATGAGACACATTTATAAACATTAAAGGATATATTTTTATTTTATTAAATCATATTTATTTCACAAAAAAATATATAATCTTATAATACATTATTTATAAGGGTATCATTTAGTATAAAATATACGAATAACGTTAAATACATGGAAAAAAATAATTTGTATAAAATATGAGCATAAATGAAATATAAAACATTAATAAATAAATAAAAATTCTCATAAATTGTGGATAAATTAAATACTATAATAAAATTAGGCATAAGTTCTGCTTTAAGCATATTGATTATGAGTGTATTATATATTTCTTAATCATTATGATCAATATGCTTTTGTGTCATTATAAAATATGTATTTAAAATTCCCCTCCCTTTACAATGATTTATATGGCATTTATAATATATTAATTTATCATTAATATATAAATACTTATTAGAATATAAAAGGGCTTTTTTATATTTTGATTTTATAAATTTATAAAATGCTTTTTTAAAAAAAAATAAATCTTGAAAATTGAATGGTGATTGAACTATTTAAAAATATGGAAAATTTGAAGTGATAGAACGATAAATATTATTTTATTTATCATATTTATTTACAGATTCTATGAACATTATATCTCAATATTGATAGTAATTATAACTTACACTAAAGAAATTAAGCTTAAAATCAGCCATCACCCACCTTTTAAGTAATTAAATTATACTGTAGTTCTCGGGTATAGGCTTTTTCTTTGTCCCACTCCTTTTAAATTAAAGCCTATAGAGCTTTAAGCAACATTTTTCGAAATGTTGTGCATACAAGTACGTGCGGCTTGCCCACAAACGTGTGGAGGACTCCTCATATTTTTACTTTTATACCCAAATTAAATTGTTCCAATTAGATGGAAATGAGGAAAACCTAGCGTAGCTCTGCTGAATCTTCAACGCTAGAGGGCAAAAGCGCTATATATCACGTAAATAAAAATTTATTTTGTATATCATCGCAATTAAAATGATATAATGAATACTATTTATATTGAATTTTACAAGGATTGATGCATAATTGTTTTCACTTACAACAGCTTCTTGGGTGAGAATAGGAATATTATCTTGAATAGCTTTATAATTGATATAGTAAATGTATTAATCATATTATATTTACATCGAATTAGGGAATAATTATTTTCACTGACAACAGCTTCTTGGGCAGGGTTGCCAGGTCAAAATTTTCAAATTGTGGGAGAAATTCGGTATTTTGTGGGATTAATATAAAAATTGTGGGAGAAATATGAAAATTGCTAAAAAAAAAAATTTTGCGGGCCGAAGGCCCGGCCTGCGGCAGGGATTTAGAATTGACTTAGTTATCCGCTTATTATTTTTTATTAATATAAAATCGAATCTATTTTCCAAAATAAAATAGGTAATTATTTTTCAAAATAAATTAGGTAATTATTTTTCAAAATAAAATAGCCAATTATTTTTCAAAATAAAATAGCCAACTATTTTTCAAAATAAAATAGCCAACTATTTTTCGAAATAAAATAGCCAACTATTTTTCAAAATAAAATAGCCAACTATTTTTCGAAATAAAATAGCCAACTATTTTTCGAAATAAAATAGCCAACTATTTTTCAAAATAAAATAGCCAACTATTTTTCAAAATAAAATATCCAACTCTTTTTCAATATAAAATAGGTAACTATTTTCCAAAATAAAATACGCAACTATTTTTCAAAATAGGTAATTATAGTACGACACAAAATTTCTTAAATACTATCTTTATTATTAAAATAACATATTGATTTATTATAATATATTAATTTTGTTTAAAAATAATAACCAACGATCTTTTTTAAATACAAAAGAATGTAAACAAGATAAAATTTTATAAAAAAATTGTAATTTTACAATGTAAAAAAATATATTTTATGCTAATGTATAAATAAAATTTTATAAAAAAACAAAACATTTTAAATTTACAATGTAAAAAATAATTATAATCAGTGCGGGGAAGTTGTTCTACAGTATTTAGTTAATACAATGGGGGAAGGGAATATGATATTTTGAGGCATCAAAAATCTTCAAAGCATAAATCAGTAGAGGGCAGTCTATCAACATCTATTGCAAAACAAAAATATTCTTCAAAAATAAGAAATAATACAGATGCAACTACAGTTGCGGAAATGGTAAATACCTATCATGCAGTACAACATTCAGAGAGCTACTTAACATCATAATGTTGGTAGAATCTTTCCCCATAATATTTAACGACTAATATAAATGAAAAGTATACTTTGTAGAACACAAATGAGCAAGGCTATCATCAATGTTTTAGGATATAAATCCAGAAGGTCAATTCTTGACGATTTGAAAGATGTACAAACATATGCAATTCTAACAGATGCATCTAATAAGGAGATATCAAAACATTTCTCTTGATCCTCCCCTATTTCAACAAAATTAATGTCATTTCAATAAAACTATTAAAAAAATTTTCTCCAGATATGAAATATCCAAAGACATAGCTAACCATATACAATTATGGAAGATTTGGCCAATGAATTGCATGACAGCTTTTTGATCTGATAATTCCTCAGTGAATTTGGCAAAAACCAGAGTGTATTTACAGAATTGAGTCAGCATAATGTTGGTTGACAGATTCCTCCAAATACGCGCCATCGTAAAATTTTAAAATTTTACAAACCTTTAAAAAATAAATAGATTATAAAAGCTGTCCTAATATTTTGAAAAAAATTTTCAAAAATAAATGGCAGAAGTATATTTAGGAATTTTACATATAGGAAATCTACTATATGCTGTAGAATATAATTTAATAAAGGTTCACTAAATTATGCTGCAGAAATACCAAAGTAAGAATATTATTACTATTATTGGATAATTATTAATAAGATTTAATATGATGTCATGTTTGAGGAAATTGTAATGCTTCTTTATTTTTATGATTTGCCAAAATATTCAAAATATTAATTTTACAATGTAAAAAATAAATTTATTTGATTTTATGCAAATGTATAAATAAGATTTTATAAAATATAGAAAGTCAAATAGTTATAGTTAATTATATTTTATTTGAGATTTAAATAATGTAACTAAACGTTTACCGTCGTTATTAAGATATTTATAAAATTCCTGGCATGACATTTTATAATTTTGTTTAACCATTAACTCGGCCTCTAATGTTGTTAAAGCAATTCGATTTCTCTCCTTTCTCCGGGCAGTCCTCATCAGGCTAGCTCCAATGAGGCATTAGAATGAGGTAAGGAGAAAACATACTCGCATATTTTTTCCAAGCATGGGGATTTATCGTTATTACTAAAAAATTCCACCCATTTCTCCTCTGCTTTTAGACCATCTAACTTTAAGTATTCTGGAGAATGAAAAAAAATGGAAAAATTTACAATCTCTTCAAACAAGGCTTCAATGTCTATCGGTAATTTTAATATATTTATTAAATTACAAAAACCATCAAATGATGGTTTCTGTTCCAAGGTCATAATATTTATACACTTGTAAATAGAGTTATTAAAATCAAATCTTGATTGTAAATATTCCAAAATTGTCTTAATAAAAATATTTGCTTCATTTAAAAATACGTTAATTATAGTAATATTTGAACATTTTAATATGATATTTTTAGCAGTAGCGCCATAAAATTTATTATCTATTTTTAACTGTAGAGATGAACAGAGCTGAAGCATGATTTTGTGAATCTTTATCAATAAAGAATCTTCTGATTGCAACTGAATATTAACTACATGAAGTAGATTCCTACATGTGAAACTAATCCCAAATATGCTTCTGACATTTCATCCTCGAAATTTTTTTTTAGCAAAATAGAACATTTTATTACTTAAATCTGTTTGGTATATGGGATATAATATCAACTTCTAAAAGTTCTATTCTTCTAACACAAAAATTTTGAAAATGTCTAGTGGAGCACTGCAATTCTAAACGATATAAAATATATTAAGTAATTTAAAATATATTTATAATAATTATACATACTGTTCTAACTTCTATTCTTTCTAACACAAAAATTTTGAAAATGTCGAGTGGAGAATTGGAGAATTTTTAAAAAATATATTTTAGAGCGGAAAAATAAAATAAAAGAACTAGACATATTTTTCGAATAAATATTTAAAATTTATTTTAAAAATATAAAAATAATCAAATACTCTCTCTCAAAATATTATTTATATATTAAAAACATTAAAATGCTAAAAAAAAAATTGTGGGATAAATTAAAAAATTGTGGGAGCTTTTTGTGGGAGATTTCTAATTGTGGGAGTTTTGTGGGAGTGAGATGTATGTGGGTAAACTAAAAAATTGTGGGAGACTCCCACTGATGGGGGGAGACATGGCAACCCTCTTCTTGGGTGAGAATAAGAATATCATCTTGAATAGCTTTAATTGATATAGTAAATGTATTAATAATATTATATATACATGGAATTGATGCATAATTGTTTTTACTGACAATAGCTTCTTGGGTGAGAATAGGAATATCATTTTGAATAGCTTTATAATTGATATAGTAAAAGTATTAATCATATTATATTTACATAAAATTGGGGAATAAATGTATAATTTTTTTAATATATTAATATAAAATTTTTCAATAATTAATGTATTAGTGCATTATTTGGACATAGTAAATAAATTGTTCTTAACAATCCAGCAGCCAAGGCATGGTTTATTTGTGCATGTAAAGTAAGCAGTAAAGCTATTAGTCTTTATGCTTTTTAAAGTGATTAGGCATAGCCATCTGAAACAGGTTAAATTAATGGATTATTTTTGTTTAAAAAAAATAGTAATCATTTTTCTTAATTAAGTTTATATCTAAATTTCAAATAATAGAATTTGAAGTAATAATTTATTTTAACTTTATTTTTAAACAATGCAACTAGTCAAAGTAGGAAGGCCTGCCTAGTAGATTTATTATTACAAAAAACTTTTAAAGTAATAATTTTTCTTAACTTTATTGAATGCATGATATACCTTAATTTTATTTAAGATAATATTTGAAATAAAACTAAGATAATATTATTAGATGGATTAAGAAAATAACTAATGTAATATTATTAGATGGATTAAGAAAATAACTAATGTAATATATAATATATGGAAAACATAAATTATAGCATGTCTTTTTTTAAAGATTTTATTGATATTCAGGAAAGCTATATATAGTTACAAATTTATACCCATTAATTTTAAATAAAATAAAGATAAATTAGTATAATAAATTGTGAATTTGTTAATATGTAATAAAAAAATAATAACCAATCAGCCTAATTTTTTAAAGGAATAAAATTTGTAAGATATATCTTTTTTGTTAAATATAGTAATTTGTTATATTAGTATTGGAGAATATGTACAATATTTTCTATAGACTGAATGGAGTATTGAGGGGTCTATATTTAAGGGCAAGTTGATCTACTAAAATTTAATATTATAATAGAAAACAAAATATCATAATAATACATATCAGAGGTCTGGGTAGGATATGACCCTTTTGATTGATAATTATGTAATTAGAATAGCATAAAATATCTGCATGTCATATTTAATTAATAGTTTTAAAAAAATTGGTTACCTTTATACTTTCTATTTATATAAACTCAAAGTATTATGCTGGGTTGATTATTGAAAAATGCTATTTAGCTTGTAAATCCAATTTCACCTTTTCGTAATAAAGGCTCAAATTTTTTTTTAAAAAACTACTAATTTTATGTAATTTATAAATAATAATTTTGATCTACAATATTTGACTAACTACTAATTTTATGTTTTTAATTTATAAATAATCATTTTGATCTACAATATTTGACAATTTTTATATTTCTAAAATAAATATTAAATTATTTTGGAAAAAACTTGTCTAGTTTGTCATATTCCTTTTTTAAATTGTCGATAATTTATTCCTATTTCAACAAAATGTTAAGTAACGGATAGGGCACAATTTGACTACCTTTATGCCTCTATTAAATAAGTATTTCTGCAACTACATCGAGTCTTATATTTTAAAAGATGATAGGATTTTTTATGATAATAATAATAGCAAACTAACTAATTATATTTATTTAATCTTTTTAATTGCTTTTGTGATTCTAGAATCTTCGTTCTATCTTGAATCTTGATATAAATTTTAGTAATTTTCGTATTTTTTAATAACTTTTTATATATATTGTTTAACAAGCGGACTGAAGATTAAAAACTAAAATATATTCTTTAAGCATTACATATTAGCCTAAGCGTTAGAGTTAGTCAAAAGTTTAGCAAACTTCATGCATAGAACTGGTCTTATAATCAGATTTGTATCAAATTATTGAAAATAACTCGATTTAAAATTTAATGAGATTTAAATTATTTCTATATTTATTAAACAAACTGAAGAGAAAAAAATAATATGAAGATCATAATCATAAGATTTAAAATATCTTAAATCGGGGAAAAAGATACCTTAATCTATTCAATCACAATTTAAAATTCGATATTTAAGATTCAGCCGCCATCAGACAGAACGTTTTTTCGAAGTGGTCTTGGGTAATGTTACCAGATTTCCAAAAAAACCGTATAATATAATATATTTAAAAAAAACAATCCAAACCCCTATTTTTTTAATCGTAAATAGAAAACAAACTGTTTGATTTTAATCAGAGATCTGCAGGCCCGGCCCTAAGCCCGGGTACTAGGGCCGGGCCGTATTTTAAAATATACCCGGGCCGGGCCTGAAATTTTTTTTAAAAATACCCGGGCCGGGCTGTATTTTTTAAAAAAATTTATACAACATGAATTATTATATTCGTCAATTAGATATGGTTAAAATGATTATATATAGTTATGATTAATATAATGTTTGGTGAAAGTTAACACTAGATAACACGCATAGTATCTATTACATAATAAAATTATAGTTTTCCTGCCATGGAATAAATACGCAAAGGATTAAATACATTATTATATAATATATAATATATTTTTTATTTTTTAATTATAATATCATTTTTATTTTTTTAATACATATTATATAGTATATTCTCAAAATATTATTTACACAAATTTTTTATAGTATCAATTAGTAATATACTAAATATCTGTATAGAACAAAAATTTTTAAAAACGGCTAACTGTTTTATCCAGAAAAATATTATGCAAGCCTGAAAATTTTGCTCATAGAAGGAGCAAAGGTCTAGACATATAGTATCGAAATTTCGAGGCTTAGTCAATATTTTTCTGGCGTAAATATTGAGTTAGCCTTTTTTAAAAATCGGCTCAAAACGAGCCGTTTAACAACATTAGCTAATATACTTGCTTATTAAATAATAATACTCGCCGAAAAATATGATAAAATACGAAATAATGAATTTTTTGTATATACCAGGTCGAATATAATTTTAAAAATTCCGAGCCGAGCCTAAAAAAATATTTTTTTAAAATCCAGGCCGGGCCCTCAAAATTTTTTTTTAAATATTCGGACCGGGCCTAAAATTTTTAAACCCGAGCCGGGCCGAAAATTTTTTAAATCTGGGCCGGGCCATACAAATTCAGGTCTCTGATTTTAATAACGATTAAATGGTCTCTTGAAATGTGGCTCCAGTATTGTTATTTTTAAATATTATATTACATAATATTTAAAAATTAATTGAACAAGTTAGTATTATTTGTTTGGAATAAAAAATAAGAATTGCTGGTAACATTGCCCAAAAACCGCTTTGAAAAAACGTTCTGTCTGTAAATGGCTTAAGACGTGACGTAACTTTTATTTCGCTTATAACTAGATTTAATTTATTGGCTGATAAAAACTGATCGATAAACTGATAGGTTGGTACTAATCATGCATTATATATTGTCATTGTTCTATAATTTCCCTTCTAGCATGATACCAATCTTGGCGATTTTTTTAAATTTTGCTCAAAATGTTTTTCTTTAAACTATCTACCAAACAGATTGAAGCACTAAAGTAGTATAAAATACGCATTAATAATTGATAAATTTCAGAGAAAATACTTCCAAGATGTTTGATTAGCTATAAGCTTAAGAGGTGATACAATAGTTAGTTTTTTGTTCATAATTCGCTTAATTTTTTATTGATTAGCGGATTAGAATTAATGAGGCATTAAATATTAACGCAAACCAGTTAGTTAGAACTTCTACATTTTTCGTTCTGATACGATGCTAATTTTGACAATTTTCTATTTTTTATCAATAATTCTTTTCCTCTTTAAACCAACTGCCAAACAGAAAAAAGCAATAAAATATTAATAAAACCCTACTTAATGGTTAAGTATAAGTTTCAAAATTATTGTTTCCAAAAGCTTGGCTCACATCACGCTTAAAGCGTGATGTCATGGTGTTCATTTTGTTTATAACTCAGTTACTTTAAGTGGTTCTCATATTTGAGTGAAGAATTAAAACAGCCATTTTTTAATTTTTAGGTTGGCCAAACTTGTTACTAATAAATTATACTAGCCACTAGAGGTGGGCGCATGCTATGAAATTACGCGTGACCCATCGTGATTTATTAGGCGTGATTGGGCGTGAAGGGCCTTCCTAAAATTTTTCCCGGGCGTGAACATAAATTTCCCGTGAATCACGGAAATTTTTATTTTTAAAATAATTTTTTTATAAATTTACAATTTTATAATTATAATATATCTAATTTAATTTAGTTCTTTTTTAAAAAAAGAATAATTTTTAACAAAAAATCTTCCGCATTTTATAAACAACATCCGGTATCATACCGTTAGTTCTATTTTCTTTTTATGTTTAGGTGTTTTATCGCGAGACTTTTTGTTAAATTTTGCTTAAACATTTTACAGATAGTTTATATTTTATTGGTAAAGATCTTCTATTAAACAACAGAAAGTGAAGGATTTTACAAGCTAGGTCAAGAGTTAATAAATGTTAGTGTTACATATGGGCAACAAAATATAAAAGATATACTTGTGAGCCGGAAAACTCTCAAGAATACTATAGCTCCAAAAATATTTGATGAAATTAAGATTAAAAGCATGATCAATAATAATTACTTGTCCATAACCACTGATTTTTGGATGGATGACTATAAAAATCAAAGTTTTTTAACCATTACAGGACATATTATCATTAAGGATTTTGAATTAAAACATTTGTTTTGGCCACAAGGGAAATCAAAACAGGGGTTCAATATTAAAGTGTAGTCAATTTAATTTTAGAAGAATATATAGAAGTAGAAAATTATTTAAATAAATGTATAGTTGTGTGACTGACAACAGAGCAATCTTATAGTTCTGGTTTCGAATCCAGACTATATATTTTTTCTGAGCCAAAGGGGGTATCGGAGGCGACCGCATGATTCCGTTAATATATATCAGTGTCTTTTGCATATTAGTAAAATTTGGTTGTTATTTAGCATAATTGCCATATGATGACTAACGTTATATATAATTACCCTCTTTTTACCTTTCTTTCTAACATTTATTTTAAAACTAACATTTTTGAAAATTTTAATTTTCATAGAGAGAATTCTTTGTTTTATTTTTTTTAAACATTTATTCTATTAAAAAAAGAATTTAAAACTAACTTATAAATTTATTATTTTGAATAAAATAATTTGTACTTCCCAAATATAACCAAATTATTAAATTTTGTATTTTTTATAGAAAAAAATATCTCAACTTTTTATATTTACCATTGACTTATATTTTTTGGAAAGTAGTAAAAGAATTATAAACAAATTTTGAAATTTGTTATAGAGAATCACTTATGTAATTGTTTTTCTTTTTACTTTTAAATCAATTTATAAAATAGAGTTAAAAAAAATCTATTAAGTTCTAAAATCTTGGCCAAGCCATTTAATGATCCTATAAACGAATTTACCAACACTAGAATCCTTCTGCCGAAAAATAATAAAGGTGGAAATTGTTTGTTGTTTTTTAATTTAATGGTTGATGAATGAATAGATATTTAATAACTAATATTTTTATAAGTATTTTCATGTTTATCCAATTAATTTGGCTAGATAAAATTTTAATAACTAAATTTTTTCCAAGAATTTCGTCTTTTCATTTAGATTTATTTGTTATGGCGAATCAAAATTCAAAAACGAATTCTTTTTTTATAATTTAGGGCCCAAAATTTTTTTTGGGGGCTATTTATGGGGGCTAAAATTTTATAGAGGGGACGAATTTGGAGGTGGGAAATATCTTTGCGCCCCTCCTAGGTTCCTTCCCTTGAAGACCTGGTTTCCTAAAGCTTTTATTTTACCGGAAACACCTAGTTTTGGTAAAACAAGTAAACAAACTTAAATTGCTTCATAGATTAGAAATAATTAAAGTTAAAAAGGAACGGGGTCATTTTTCTCAATTTGAAAGAAATGGGCAGATGGTTCAATAGTGACAGGAGAATTAACATATTCATCATTCCCGAATTTAATTTTATCATTTTCAAGCCCTGTCTGGATTTTTTTTGAAAAAATGGGCGAGGTTTTATTTATTAAAACTAGTTCAGACTTTTATATGATGATTTTTCTCAACCTCTTCTCCTGGTAAGTCAGTCAATGTTAGTGAGATTTAATTAATTAAACAAATAAGATAAATCATAGATATTGCAAACTACCTCCTGCTTATCGCAAGATAATACATAATTTTAGTTTGACAAATACATATTAACTACTTATATAATTTTCAACAAAATTTAAAGAGGACAAATATTTTTAAATGAAGAGAACCTATACTTTTTCAAAATACTTATTTTCCTAGTTCAAGATAATGGCACACGACTTCCTATGCGATCATACTTATTTGTTATAGATCAGTGCATAACAAATATTAATATTTTTTTAAAGTGCCAATTTTTCTAGTAGAGTAAAAAAAACCATCATCAGGCTCCGAGAGGTACGCCGACACCTATATAATTAAATATTTCCATCCATAATATTATATAATTGATGTTGTACTTCCAATTGTTTAGAGTGTCAATTAAAGAGGCAAAAACAAAATTTAGTTTTAATGGTATATGAAAATAAATAACCCAAAATTTATCTTTTAATTCATCCATGTTAAAATTTATAAATTTAGCATTTTGAAACAATATACTTTTGGGGGATAAAGATATCAATCTCCCCAGCTATATTTAAGAAACAATTAGGTGTAAAATTCCAGGTAAAAAATAAACACCCGGACCGGGCCTAAAATTTTTTAAAAAGGTACCCAGGTCTGGCTGATAGCCACTATTATCTATAAAAATTGAAAATAAATATAATATATTTTAACAAAATCCAGACTGCATGCCAAAAATTTTAAAAAAAAATCAGGATAGGCTGTGCAAATGGTACCTACATCTCTGATATATTTATTACCTTCAATATAAATATATAACTGGAACATAAATTTTCATTATGTTGATTTCATAAAATCTGTAAAAATTGTATTTATATGCTCAATAAAAAAATATTCCTAAATGAATTTTTATACATTTATTTGCAATTTAAAACCTAAAAGTTTATTTTTGCTAGATGAAGGTTTTGCCTAACTTAAACCCGCATATTCTATGGATAGACTCAAAGATAATGGGTTGATGAGTGGGAGGGTTAAAAAATATTTTTGAAACAATGGGCAGGTGAATTTGAAATATATTTCAGGCAAAATGAGCAACTGACTTCTATTTATTACTAAATATTATTTTTTTATTTCATAATTTATTTAAGTAAAAATAAAATAATAAATAAAGAGCCAAATCAACCAATATAATAATTTTTAAACATTGGACAGGCAGGTTAAACAAAATTTTTAAATAAATGAGCAGGCAGGTGCACCAAAATCTGCCAATTGCAGACAGGATGACATCAGAACAGCAGATTGTAATGAATTTTATTTCTGCCAAAGCATTTATAAATGATATGCGTCTGCCACTTTTATTTTCCCATGCATTTGCCATCAGTGGTCTGCAAAAGACAAATTTTTTAGGCCCAATTGAGTTATTGCCATTCAAGTTTTGCTTGGCCCAATTTCAATTTTTTACTAAGGTTGCCATACCTTTTTTTATATATTGCTGAATTCTGATATTATAGAAGTGATAATTCATAAAGTATAGTATTTTTAATTTAACCACTCCCCAATATTGTAAATAGTATTTATTTTGGTGTTCAGTAACATATATTTTGTATAAACCTTATATTAAAAAAAAAATTAATTACAAAACCCTCACCTAGCTATATAATAATATTTTATTGAGTTCATAAATAAAAATAAATACAGAAATTATAAAATTAATAAAAACAGTATATTCATGTCCAATATTTGTTTACATGGAATGTAATAAATATATATACTTCATTAACATTTTTTACAGAATAAATGAAAATTTTAGTGATAACCCTCATTTTTTGATTTATATGTCATATAGGCCTATTTCTGATTTATCCACAAGAGGGAATTTTCTGATTCATCTATCATCAAATTAAGTAGAAAATTCTAATTCCCTATCATATAAAAGCAGATATTTATTTTAAAGAAATTCATGATAAAATAATGAATAAAAATTGCCTTTTTAATATGCGCAGAATTTTAAAGATTGTAAGAAAGATATATAATAGTACATAATGCAATGGAATGCACAAAGCACTTCTTGTAAAATGTTCTCCAGAGTTTTGAGTAAGTTTAAAGCATCTTCTCATTGGATTCATAAATCACAATTTCTGATGAAAAATGAGAAAGAATGATAAAAAAATAACAAAAATTGTGGTTATATTTCTTAGTTTGAAATTTTTTTTTATTTATCTAAATAAAATTTGTTAAAAATTATACTTTTGAAAAATGAATATTTAACCTGCAGCTAACTTGTCAATTTTTGCGGTAGGAAGAAAAATTGGCAAAATTTATGAATGACAACATCATTAATTGATTATCATTTTGAGATCCAATGTGAAATATGAAAATCATCTGTAACATAAATTACCAAGGCATCTTATGTTGAATATATAAAATCATCGCCATTAAATATAATATATATAAAATTATCGCCATTAAATATAATATATAAATATGTAAATCACATGCTAGAATTACTATTGACTTAAAATTGCTATGATGATTATCATTGGACCCAATAAGCTATGATGATTTTTATTGGACGAATATTTTTTAAAAGAACACTATTGGCTAAATTTGATTGACGTTGTTTGAAGATTATTATAATAGATATATATAATTTTAAGAAAAAACAAAAATAGTTCTATAAAAATTTATATCATTAAAAATTTAATTAATTTACTTAAATTTGACATATTTTTAATATTACGAAGATAAGAATATTCACATATTCATATATAAATGAGAAGAAGATTTTCTTCCAGATCTGGGGATGCTCGCTTTAAGATCCCTCCACAAACGCTCAATACGTTGAATATGGGTCAATATTGTTATAACTTGAAAAAATATTAAAATTTAAGATTTGTGTGATTGCATAAAAAAATTAATACGAGTTTCAGTGAGTTACCAAATTTTTTTTAAGGTAGTTTTTTATATTTATTTTTACATGTATTTTGTTTTATAATAAATCTATCTTAATTTTTAAAGGGATCAGAGCTATCCGGATTCATTACTGGTTTTAAAAGGATTACTAAAAAATTAGGGTTTTAAGTTAAGGAATGATAATACGGTATTATCACGTTTTGACTGAAAGTCCTAATTCTTGGTCATGATCAGGGTTGCCATGTCTCCCCCCATCAGCGGGAGACTCCCGCAATATTTTAGTTTACACGCAGACATCTCTCTCTCGCAAAACTACCACAATTGGAAATCTCCCGCAAAAATCTACTGCAATTTTTTAATTACTCCCGCATTTAAAAAAAAGAAGTATTTTAACGTTTTTAATATACAAATAATAATAATAATTTTGAGAGACATTAATTGATTATTTTTATATTTTTAAAATAAATTTTAAATATTTATTCGAAAAACATGTCTAGTTTGTAAATTTCTTTCTATCCTGTTTTATTTTATCCAATAATAAATCAACATCATTTCATTCATATAATCAATACAGGGGAATACATCAACATGGATTGCAATACAAAAATATTCTCAAAAAAAATAAATAATACAGATGCAACTATATTTGCGGAAATCGTATACATCTATCATGTAGTTCAACATTCACAGAGCTATATCATCACAATGTGGGTCGAATCTTTTCCTCATGATATTTAACGACTCCAATATAAGTGCAAGCCTTATCACACGTGTTTTAGTACCTGAATCCTAGAGGTCAATTTTAGATGATTTGAAAGATGGGCATATATATGCAATTCTAACAGATGCATCTAATAAGTGAAATATTAACATTTCCCTCTATCCTTCGCTATTTCAACAAGAATAAGAACATTTCAATAAAACTGTTAAAATTTATTTTTTCCTCGGATAGTGAAAAATCCAACGATGTAGCTCTCCACATAATGGTAAATATAGCTGATTCAGGGTTATCAATGATTTGCATGTCAGCTTTCTGCGCTGATAATGCCTATGTAAACTTTGGCAAAAACTAAAGTTACCGAATTGAGGCAGCACAATAATGAAATAATACTAATTGACTGTATATGCCATATATAACATAATTCTTGCAAGAAGGCAATGAATGTACTATCTGTGGATGTCGAAATAATTGTGATGAAATGTTTTAACGAATTTAATTCATCAAAAGAGTTAATGAATTAAAAGAGTGGTGAAATAGTCTGACTTGGAATGGTGTGAGTTGTTGCGATATATACCTATCAGGTGATTGTCATTAATACAAGCCATCGATAGAATTTTAAAATTTTACAAACCCTTAAAAAAATATTATTTAAATAAAGATTTTAAAAGCTGTCCTAAAAATTTTTTCGAGTATGAAATTGCAGAAGCATATTTAGGATTCGTTTCACATGTAGGAAATCTACTTCATGCAATTAATATTCAGTTGCAATCAGAATATTCTTTATTAAAAAAGATACACAAAATCATGCCACAGCTCTGTTCATCTCTACAGTTAAAAATTGATAATAAATTTTATGGCGCTATTGCTAAAAATATTATATTAAAATGTTCAAATAATACTCTAATTAATACATTTTTAAGAAGCAGATATTTTTATTAAGACAATTTTTGAATATTTACAATCAAAATTTGATTTTAATAACTCTATTTACAAATTTATAAATATTATGACCTTGGAACACATCAATTGATGGTTTTTATAATTTAATAAATATATTAAAAATACCGAAAGACATTGATGCTTTGTTTAAGGATATTGTAATTCTCTCTATTTTTTATGATTCGCTAAAATACTTAAAGTTAGATGGTCTAAAAGCAGAGGAGAAATGGGTAGAATTTTTTAGTAATAACGATAAATCCCCAAGCTTGGAAAAAATATGCGAGTATGTCTTCTCCTTACCTCATTCTAATGCCTCATCCTAGCGCATTTTTAGCCTGATGAGGACTGCCTGGAAAAAGGAGAGAAATCGGATTGCTTTAACAACATTAGAGGTCGTGCTAATGGTTAAACAAAATGTCATGCCAGGAATTTTATAAATATCTAAATAACGACGGTAAACATTTAGTTAATTTTAAAATTCTTCGATGGCGGGTATTATGAACATATCGCAACCAACATTGTGCTGACTCAATTCTGTAAATACACTCTATTTTTACCAAATTCACTGAGGCATTAGATTAGAAAGCTGACATGCAATTTATTGATAATCTCGAATCTGTTATATTTACCATTTTATGGTTAGCTATTTCTGGATTTTTCACTATTTGAGGGGAAAAAATTTAATAGTTTTATTGAAACGACATTAATTTTGTTGAAATAGCGAAGGATCAAGGGAAGTATTTTAATATTTTATTTCCCTTATAAAATGTATCTGTTAGAATTGCATATGTATGCCCATCTTTCAAATCGTCAAGAATTGACCTTCTGGATTTAAGTCCTAAACATTGATAATAGCCTTGCTCATTTTTGTTCTACAAGTATAGTTTTTCATTTATATTAGAGTCGTTAAATATTAGATTCTACCAACATTGTGATCATAAGTATCTATGTGAATGTTGTACTACAAGATAAGTGATTACAATTGCCGCAACTGTAGTTGCATCTGTATTTCTTATTTTTGGAGTACCTTATTATGTATTTAAACGAGATACGTGATAATTAAGCACCTATCCCTATAATGTTATACACAAACACACGGTAGATTTCATATTGCGGTCGTTTTGCAGGACATTCGCATAAAATATATTTTTAATTGTAAAGTTAAATCGTTTTTTTTATAAAATTTTATCTTGTTTACATTCTTTTATATATAAAAAAGATCGTTGGTTTTTTTTATAAATTAATATATTTTAATAAATCAAGATGTTATTTTATTTTGAAAAATAGTTACCAACTTTGTATTTATATAAACTAATTTTAAAAAATAATAGGCGGATAATTAAGTCAATTCAAAATCTCTTTTTTAGCAATTTTTATATTTCTACCGCAATTTTCATATTTCTCCCGCATAATACCAAATTTCTCCCGCAATTTGAAAATTTTGACCTGGCAACCCTGGTCATGATGGGTTGGACTTGGTCTGGGGAGGGGGGTGCGGAGTTACAAAAGAATGAAAAAAAAATTATTATTCTAATTATTATTAATTGATATTTTTTTTAAAATTTATTGAAAAAATCTTGTATTTTATTATAAAATTAATTTACATTTTTATTAAATAGTAGAAAGCAAAAAATTATTATTAGAACTCGGAACCGCCAAATAATACTAACTACTTTATTATGAATGACTGTACAATTATATATCCTTTATCAATAATAATTTACGTCCAATATTCTCTACGGTAACCCCTGATTCCCACTTTCTTGTACTACCATATATCCTTGCCCACACGTTTTGTTCCACTATAAACTTAGGCGTTTTACTTATCTCTCTTTCACCCTCTTGACTTGATTTCTGCATTAATAAATCCAATAATTTACTTTAGCTTTCCTGAAACTTCTCGGCCGGAGACTGTTCTTCTCCCTTTCGATTATTATTAATATGCCACGGCTATCTAAATTTCCCCACTTCCATACTTTGATTTTCTTAACCAGTTTTTGACAAACGACACCATTCTCTCCTCCTGACCATTTGAGCTTGGAAGATATGGCGGTGCTAGAATATGTTTTACCCCGGTTTCCACGTAAAACGTCTTAAACTGTACACTGATAAAGCTGGACCTCCATCAGATACTATCGGCACTACTTCGAATCTAGCGCATAGATTTTTCAGCGTTTTCAACGCCACTTGAGTCATTGACCCCCTTACTTCTTCGTACTCTATCTACTTTGAGTAGGCGTCCACTACGAGTATATATATCTTATTTTCAAAGTCGAAGAAGTCAATGTATATACGCTCTCACGGCTGGGTAGCCCTTGGCCAAACACTCTCCATCCCTTTATGGGGCATCTTGGCCCACGTATTGCACATCAAGCAACTCCTGCCGATATTCTCAATATCTCTATTTATCCCTGGTCACCACACCTATTCTCGACCCAATTGTTTCATCTTCTCTACTCCTTGATGCCTCGCATAAATCATTATCAACACCGCGGCCCTTAATTTCAGCAGTACTGTTCTTCAATTCCCCCATACCACACATTAATTCACTATAGCCAATTCTTTTTCTATATATTTAAAAAATTGTCTGCGTCTAGCCAGGTTCCTCTCCTTTATGCATGCTTTGACACGTGTTAATTCTCGATCTTTTAACGTGGCCCTCTTGAATTGTTCCCACGTTACCGGTTCTCCTTTGGATATTCCGACCATCGCCCTAATCAATCCGTGCTCATCTTTTTTGACTCACTAATCTCAAAATCCTTTCCCGCTCCAGATTTTGAAAGAATATCCGGTAATAATTTTTTT